CCTGCTGACCACACCCAGCCCATGTCCTGACCTTGTTCTTCGGTCTGTCCATCGTGTGTGTCCAAGGTGGGATCTGTGGCACAGCCATGAGTGTTCCCAGAGGAGTTGGAGCCTCGTGGGGATGTTTGGTGGGACCTTGAGTGACTTCGATGGACGCGGAGCTGCCGCTCGCTGCCATCTCCAATTTTTTTTTTCCAATAGGTATTTATGCAATACAGTGGAATGATGACTGGAACCTGGCCATCCCTGGAGTCAGCCAAAGCATTATGGAAGCAAGATATTAATTGCTGCAGCTTGAGGCCTTCTTCCTTCTTGCCAAAAGAAAACGGATTCTAGGGGGGCGCAGGCTTGGCTGCCTACAAGGGAAGAGCTTTAGCAGCTCGAGGCACATGACTTTTAACCTTGACTGAAAGGCCCAGACAGAACCACTGCAGAAGGGGTTTTCCTCTGGGCTCAGGGGCTGTGGGGTGCAGAGTGACACAGTGTTTGTGCATATCTTTGTGGTTTCTGAAGCAATGTGTGTAGAGTAGCTGCAGCTCGTGTCTCCTGTCACTGTCCACTTGCAACACAGTAACTCTTCTCTCTGAGCTGACAATTAGGGCCCTGTAGAGGTAGGTGGATGCTCTTTAGTCTCTTATGCACTACAGGTATCTCCATGTGGAATCACAGCCCTCCTCTCCAGCAATGCCTGCCCTGCATGTCACCTCCTGCAACCCTGAGCACTGGTTTGCTGTGGAAATAAATGCTGAGAGCCCAGCACTTTGGTGGTGGTGGTCTGCAGGGATCTGGGGCTCCAGGAGGAGCAGCCTGTGGGGAGAGAGTGAGGAATGCTGAGGGGGCTCTGCTCCAAGCAGAATTCTGTCTTTAAAGAGTCAGAATCCAGAATGGTTTGGGCTGGAAAGGACCTTAAAGCTCCTCTTGTTCCATGGGCAGGGACACCTTCACTATCCCAGGTCTGTCCTGACAGGAGCCTGGAGGGAGGGAGGAGTTCCCATGGTGAAGCAGGGTAGGGAATCCTCAGGCAAAAACCCTGAAATTCCAGCTCTTGTTTTTGAGGGTTGGAATAGACCCCAAACCTCCAACCCACTGTGAAAGCAGATCCCAAAAGATTCCTGGCAGGGATGCAGGGTTGGGAATGGGGCTGGGGAGTCCCAAGGTGGCTGAGAAGGGGCAGAGCAGGGCTTGGGCTCCCCATTCCTGTTCCCAGCTGCCAGCAAGATTCCTGGGGGTTTGTGCTCCCTTCTGCTGCCACGTGGGCCTCTCTCCAGTGCACCCAAGGCATGGCAGAGCTCACAGGAGCCAGACAGTTTCCCTGGGAGCTGGCCAGTGCTTGCCAACCCACCTGGGGAGCTGCTGCTGGGGGCTTCAGGGTCCCAGAGCTGCCAGCAGGGCCCTTTCTGTCCCTCTTTGGGCCCCTCTGTGCTCATACCCTGAGAGGAGCCTGGCCCAGGAGGAAGTGTGGGAGCTGCTGCTCACCACAGACTGGTGTGCTCGAGCTGCAGGAGGGTTGGGTACTCAGGAACTCACCCTGGAACCAAATCCTCATCCCTCTGGCAGGAGTTTTGGAGGAGCTGTGACCTCAGGCAGCTCTGCCTGCTCTGGGTGCTGCCCACATCCACACCTGGGCTGTGGGTGTTGGGTCACCCAGAGCACCAACACAGCCTTGGAGGTGCCAAATTTGAAAAGATTGGGCTGAAAAATTGGAAATATTGATTCAATGTGTTTTCCACACAACCTCAGCCCAGGGGCCAAGTCAGATTTTGGGATTTGAGACAAACCCAAGGGAATGCTGAGTTCCCTTGGTCTCCCATTTGGGATGGGTGTCCCCACTGCCTCCAGTGCTGCTTGCCCTGGGTGGGGTCTGGTCTTGGGGAGGAGAAACTCCCCTGTGAGCACCTGCTGCTGTGGGAGGCCTCAGCCCAGCATCCAGGGTGGCCAGGGTGAGCTGGAAACCCCCAGGACACATCCAGGGAAACCTGGGAGAGCTGGAATCCCCCAGGATACATCCAGGGAAACCTGGAAACACCCAGGATACATCCAGGGAAACTGGAAACCCCCAGAATACATCCAGGGTGACCAGGGAGAGCTGGAATCCTCCAGGATGACCAGGAAAAGCTGGAAACCACCAGGATAAATGCAGTGTGGCTAGGGAAACCTGGAAACCCCCAGGATACATCCAGGGGGGCCAGGAAAAGCTGGAATCCCCCAGGACACATCCAGGGAAACCTGGAAACCCCCAGGATATATCCAGGGAAACCTGGGAGAGCTGGAATCCCCCAGGATACATCCAGGATGACCAGGAAAAGCTGGGAAGCCCCGAGGATACCTGTGTGTCCATGCTGGAACAGCCTCTTGGAATGCACCTTGGAAGGCACATGCAGGGCCCAGCACTGTGGGAACACCTCTGTGGGATGCTGGGTGACATTTGGGGTTTGCCTGTGCCCCTCCCCTCCTGGCAGGGCAGGCACTGCCACCTTTTCCCCAAGGGGACAGCAGTGGATCCCAAAAGCTCCTTGTGTCTGTGCTGATGTCTGGGTGCATGGGGTCCATGTTAAAGGTGGTGCTGATGCTGTCCATGGGGATTTGTCTGTCCTGTCTGTGTGGAGCCCTCCCTGGAAGGTTTCTGTGGCTTTCTGGAGAAGGTGGAATTGCCTCCCCTCTCCCACCAGGTGCAAAGCCAGGCCAGGTCTCTCGTGTCCTTGGGAGCAGGGGGTGAATTCCCTTCCCTTCCCTTCCCTTCCCTTCCCTTCCCTTCCCTTCCCTTCCCTTCCCTTCCCTTCCCTTCCCTTCCCTTCCCTCCCGTGCTGGGGACAGAACAGCCCCAGTGCTGCATGTGAAAATCCAGGAGGTGAAGGGAAAAATCCAGAATGGGGGAAGAGGAAGCTGGGAAGGGGCAGAAACAGGGAGTACTCCCTGTCTGGGTGGTGAGGGAAAGCCAGGGCTGGTTCCAGGCTTTGCCACTGGGTGCTGGCACTCAGGGGTGTTCCAGGCAGTGCCATTCCCAGGCAGTGGCATTCCTGGGCAGTGCCATTCCTGGGCAGTGCCAATCCAGGGCAGTGCCAATCCAGGGCAGTGCCATTCCCAGGGGGCAGTGCCATTCCCAGGGGCAGTGCCATCCCCAGGCAGTGCCATTCCCAGGCAATGCCATTCCCAAGGGGCAGTGCCATTCCTAGGGGGCAGTGCCAATCCAGGGCAGTGCCATTCCCAGGCAATGCCATTCCCAGGCAGTGCCATTCCGGGCAGTGCCATTCCCAGGGGGCAGTGCCATTCCCAGGCAGTGCCATTCCCAGGCAATGCCATTCCCAAGGGGCAGTGCCATTCCTAGGGGGCAGTGCCATTCCAGGGCAGTGCCATTCCCAGAGGGCAGTGCCATTCCTAGGGGGCAGTGCCATCCCCAGGCAGTGCCATTCCCAGGCAATGCCATTCCCGGGCAGTGCCATTCCCAGGGGGCAGTGCCATTCCTAGGGGGCAGTGCCAATCCAGGGCAGTGCCATTCCCAGGCAGTGCCATTCCCAAGGGGCAGTGCCATTCCCAGGGGGCAGTGCCATTCCCAGGGGGCAGTGCCACCCCCGGGCAGTGCCATTCCCAAGGGGCAGTGCCATTCCCAGGGGGCAGTGCCATTCCCAGGCAATGCCATTCCCAGGCAGTGCCATTCCAGGGCAGTGCCATTCCCGGGCAGTGCCATTCCCAGGGGGCAGTGCCATTCCCGGGCACTCTCCTGGGGGCAGCAGCATCCCCGGGATGTTTCTCCAGCCTTGGAGGCTGAGCTCTGGCTGTGCTGCTGCTCCAGGCCAGGCTGAGGAGCTGCTGGTGCCCTCCAGCAGCCGAGGGGCAGGGAGGGGCAGGGAGGGACAGCTCCTGGATCCTCTGGGGAAGCCCTTCCAACCCCTTTGGAGCCATCCTGGCACAGCCGAGGGCAGGCACTGAGGCCTCTGACAAACCATGGGAGTTTGTCTCCAATCTTTGCAGGAAAACCAATGTCAGGAATGTCCAGACCAGCCAGCCCTGCCTGGGGCCAGGGAGAGCTGTGGGGGCAGGAGGATGAGGAGGAAAGGGCTGCTCTGGGCTGGAGAAGGGTCCCTGGGATCGCTGGTCCCTTCCAGGCCACCTCCACCTGCTGGCTCCAGGTGCTGTCCTGACCCATTCTGGGCATCTCCAGGGATATCCCAGCTCTGAGGGCCCTGCCTGCCTCCCTGCTGGCTCTTCCCCCACGGGGGACACGGGGGCTGTGGGCAGGGACAGAGTGCTGCATTTATTTCCCTCCTCCTGCCTGGAAGTGCCTGGGCTGGGCAAAATTCCACATTGGATGGAAAACTGCTGGCCCAGGAATGGAGGGTGAGGAGCCCTGAGCCCCAGGGCCCCTGACAATGACAGCTGAGGTTGCAAGATGGGGGTATCTCTCCTTTCCCCGTTTTTATTTATAAACAGGTATTTTCCTGGACAGCTGGAGGCTGGAAATGATTTCATTCCTTTCCTGTTTATATTTGGCTTTAAACAAATAAACAACTCTGACTTGCTACCTACTGCCGGTGTGCTGTGCTCTTTGAGCTGCTCCCAAACCTCTGCCTGCCGCGAGGGTCCGGTGCCTGTCCCCAGTGCTGCTCCTGGCAGGGCTCTGCTCTTCCCTGTGTCCCTGCCCGTGCCCCTCTGGCACCGGGAGATGGGGACAGAACCCCCGAGCTGCCAAAGCTGCCTCATGGGGGGGGTCACCCCTGGGTGCCCCCCTTTGGGGACACAGCCCGGGCAGTGCCAAGGCTGGGGCAGCCGGGGGTGTCCGTGGGGAGACCCCGGCCCCGTTCCCGCCCGGGGATAGCGGGGGCACAGCCGGGGGCTCCCGGTGCCAGCAGCGGCTGCCGGGGCTGTCCCCGCTCCCCGAGGCTCCCACCCCCGCGGGCCCGGCGCTGCCTCTGGGCGGGGGCGCGCAGGGACCCGGGGCCGCCGCGCCGCCGCCGCCGCCGCCTCCCCCGCCGCGCCCGCCCTTAAAAGCGGCGGCGGCTCCGGTGCAGCGCCCGCGGCGGCGCTCCCGGCACGGCCCGGGATGGGCTCCGCGCACTCCGTGCCCGCCGAGATGCGGGAGCTGGCGGACAGGACGGGCTGTGAGTACCGGGGAGCCGCGGGCACCGCCCCAGATCATCCCACCCCGCCCCGAGCCCCGGGCCCGAGGGGACACCGGGGTCTGGCAGGGGACACATCACCCGGGAGGGCTCCGGACGTGTCACCGGGGAGGGGGGGGGGGGTGCGGGACGTGTCACCCGTGGGAGGGGGGGTGCAGGAGGTGCCAGCCGGGAAGGGAGGGGGAGCGCACGGGAAATGTCACCTGGGTGGCCGGGGGACTGCGGGAGGTGACGCTCGAGCAGGGCAGGGGATGCAGGACGTGTCGCGGGACCCGTGCAGGGAATGTCACTGGGGAGGTGCAGAGGTGTCACCCGGGCTGGGGGAGAGAGAGCAGGATGTGACACCGCGGGATGGAGCGGGGGAGGGGATAAGAGGGGAGGGTGTAGGACGGTCACCAGAGGGTGCCAGCGTGTCACCCTGGTCCCTGCTGCCACCAATCCCCGAGCCAGGGCGTCGAGCGGCCACACGTGCGAGCCCCAGCCGGGCTCTGCCCACCGGGGCCCCGGGCATTGTCCCCGCAGCGCTGCTCTGCCCCGGAGCCACCGCGCCGTGACACCCCGGGGCTGTTCCGGGGCTGCTTTGGGGTCGAGGGATCGGCAGGGAAGGGGCAGGGACACGGCCCAGGGCTCCCCGAGGGAGGGACGGGGTGGCCGTGCCCGTCCTGGAAGCGTCACCGCTCCAGGACGCGGCAGCTCCGGGCACGGGGGTCGGGGAGCTCCCGCATGGATCCTCCAGCTCCGGCCCTGCCGAGCCGCTGCGGGGAGGGGAGGGCTGAGGGGAGGCTCTGCCCACGGCCAAAGGCTCTGTGGGGGCCAAGAGGGTCTGGTGACCGTCCCCAGTGCTGCTGCTGCCCCTGGGGTCACATCTCCCTCTCCTCTCCCTCTGCAGGGAGGGCTGAGCCCCCACACCCCACACTGAGACCCCCCCAGGGCGGACTCAGGAGCCTGGGGAGCCCACGGGGTGCCAGCCTGGCAGCCCAGGGTGGGAGGAGGATTTTGGGGAGCCCCCTGGCCCGGGGACCCTGCAGCAGCATCTCGGGCACAGGCGGCACCTGCCTGTGGGAGGCTCCTCCCCGGTGCCCCGGGGATCAACGCCAGGGCAGGGTTTGCGAGGGGAACACCCAAAAATCTCATGGAAAGCAAAGGAGGGAGGGCAGGGGGAGACCACAACTCCAAACCATGTCTGGGGTGCCCGTCCTGTGCTCCCGTGGTATTCCAGAGCTCCCCCTGTGCTGTGGCTGCTGCCTAAAAGGGGATTTAGGGATTTTCAGCCTCGCTGCTGGGCTCCGACCTCGCACAGGGCACTGCAGCCACCCTCGGTCCCATGGGAGGAGCAGGGACAGGGCAGAGCCACCCGGAGGTGCCCCAGGCTCGCTGCTTTGCCTTCTCCCCCGAGGAGGGACACCCTGAGGGCTGCTCGGGGCTGCTTCCCCTCCCTCCTTCCCTCCGTGTGCTCCATCCCAAAGCTGCTGCAGCGTCTCCCCAGGGTGAAGTGGCTCTTCCCGGGATGCTGTGACCATCCCTGCAGCCAGGCTGGTCCCACAGGAGGCCTGAGACCCCCTCAGTGCCCCCCCCAGTGCCCCTTTCCCTTTGCTCAAGCAGCACAAACCACACAAGGCTGGGAACAGCAAGCCTGGCTCCCTTTGGTTGAGATCCCATTTTTCCCCCATCAGAGGAGGCTGCCGTGCTTGGACACGGGCCTGCAGCATCAGGATGCTTCTCAGGGACACCAGCAGCCTCTGCTGCCCTTGAGCCAGCCCTTCTTCCAGCAAAGCTTTTGCCTTTTCTGCAGATTTTCCCTTTTCTTTTTCTGGAAAGCAGCCGAGCTCTGCCACCTTTACAGGCCAGAGCGATGCTGGGAGAGCTGCCCTGAGAGGAACACCTGGGATGGGCAAAGAGGCAGGAAAAGCCTCACCCAGCCCTCCAGGGCCAGCCCAACCATGAGCACCCAGCCACTGAGCCCAGTTCTTTGTGCTCTTGGTGCCTGGGACATTTTTCTGAGAGATCAGAGCTTTTTGGTGTGCCCCAGATGCTCAGGGCTTGGTGGCTCCCACGGTGACGGCGATGGCGTCACGGCACAGAGGGAAAGGTCACATCTGCAGGGCCAAAATTGGAAAGCAAAAAGTCCAGGGAAAGTTTCCATGGGACAGCAGCAGAGCAGCAGCTGGGAGGGACTGGGGGAGGAAACATCCAGAGGGGTCTGGGCATCACCACCTGGGAGCCAGGGGGCTGAGGGGGGACAAAGGGGTTTGAAGGGGATCCCTCAGGGATCCAGGCAGGCTCAGGGCCCCCCTGGCCCATCCCAGATGGGTTTTCCAGGCTCTTACAGAGGGCTCTGAAGGCCCAGCCCCGCTGATCAATGCAGCTGCTATTTCCAGGCTGTGAAGCAGCAGTGGGCAAAGCAAAGGACATTATTTAAACATCATAAAAGGCAGCGAGGGAGGCAGCTCAGCCCAGCTCTGACCCTGCTGGCTTGCTGCAATTAACTCTTTGCAACCCCTTAAAGTGGTTTTGTGTCTCTCCATGATGCCAGGAGTGGCTGATTTGCAGCTGCTGGGGCTGCAGGAGCCTGTGGGGGCCCAGACAGACCCCCAGCCCACAGAGACACAGCTCCAGAGCACTGCCCTGGCTCCTGGGAATGGCCCTGTCAATGCTGGCACAAGAGTCAGGCTCTGAGGGGTCAGAGCTTGGTTACAGCCCCAGGAGAGCAGTGGGGGCAGATAAACTCGCCTGTGCTGGGGGATCAGGGCACTGGGGAGGTGCTGCTGAGCCCCAGCACTCGGGGGGCTCACAGGGAGCTGCTGGTCCCCCCTTCCAGCCCTGCCCTGGGGTGGGGTTGGTGCTGGGCAGTGCCCACCCCTGTGGTTTGTGGCTCACCCTGAGCAGTGGCAGCAATTTCAAAGCCAGGAGTTGATTTTGGGGGGCTGCTGAGCCCCCTCTGTGTCCTCTCCTCTTCCCTGGCTGCTGTCAGGGTTTCTGATCCCAGAGGTGTTTCCTGCAGCAGCCGTGGCTGTCAGGACATGGAGGAACCTCCTGGCTCCAGGCAGAGCTGTCCTGGGGCAGGGGGGAGCAGGAGCTGCCTGGGCACAGCTCTGCCCACGGTGCCAACCCCAAAAATGCCAATGCTGTTCCAGTGGGCTGGCACCAAGGATCCTGAGCTGAGGGAGGGATCCCACCGTGCCATTCCATGCCATGCTGGGCCAGGGAATTCCCTGCAGACAGGACAGGGAATACCCCAGCCCTTGGCACTGGGCACGGGGACTCAGAGGGACCCTGCAGGTGGCACGGAGCCACCACAGGGCAATGGGGGTGGCACAGCTGTGCCCAGGACCCTGCCCTGGTGCTGGGGGTGGGACAGGCACAGAAAGGTGTCCCCGGGGCTCAGCCCCTGTCACCTCTGTCCTTTCCCTGGCAGTCACCTCTGAGCAGATCGAGCACCTGCACCGGCGCTTCAAGCAGCTGAGCCAGGACCAGCTGACGATCCGGTAGGGAATGCCAGCCCCAGGGCAATGCCAGCCCCGGGACAATGCCAGCCCCGGGACAATGCCAGCCCCATGCCAGCCCCGGGACAATTCCCATCCCATGGCAATCCCAGCCCCAGGGCAATCCCAGCCCCAGGGCAATGCCAGCCCCATGCCAGCCCCAGGGCAATTCCCATCCCATGGCAATCCCAGCCCCAGGACAATTCCGGTCCCACTTCAATCCCAGCCCCTCTGCAATCCCAGCCCCACTTAAATCCCAGCCCCATTACAATTCCCATCCCATGGCAATCCCAGTCCCAGGGCAATCCCAGCCCCACAGCAATTCCAGCCCCATTACAATTCCCATCCTGTGGCAGTTCCAGCCCCACCACAATTCCCATCCCATGGCAATCCCAGCCCCTGGGCAATGCCAGCCCTGCTACAATTCCAGCCCCAGGGCAATCCCAGCCCCAGGGCAATCCCAGCCCCATTACAATCCCATCCCATTTCAGTTCCATCCCCACTTCAATCCCAGCCCCATTACAATCCCAGCCCCACAGCAATCCCAGCCCCACTGCTGGTGGATGCCACCCCCAGCATCTCCCCCTTCCCTGGGCTGCCCAAGGTGCTGGTCCAGGGCTGGGATTCTGTGTCCTTCCCTGAGCCATCCCTGAGCCAGCTCCTGCAGGGTGGCCTTGCAAATATTCCGAGGAAAACACACAATAACCCACTGGCCTGGGAGCAGGGGCTCTCCTGACAAACATCTCATCACCCCCCAGCTTTAAAAACAGTTCTGGGGAGGGAAGGGGGGGTTGCAGGGGCTCCTGTGCCTCTCCTTGGTGGCTGCACAGGGAATGGGAGAGCTCTGACCTCTCTCAGGGTTATTTCTTGGCTCGTTTACTTTATAAATCCCAGAGATCAAAGCCCAGCACGGGCTCAGCATGAAGCTGAGGGGAGGGTGGACAGCAGAATCTCCTTGGTGAGCTCTGCTTGAGGCCTTTTTCCTGGGAAAACTCCAAAATCCACTGCAGGTGAAGCCATGCAAAGAGCCCTGGGGTCATCCCAAGAGCTTCCCCAGGACCCATCCTGGGGGGACAAAATCTCTGAGCATGGACTTGCTGTCAGTCCGAACAGAAGGAAAAAGGGTTTTTATCCAAAATCCCTTTATTTTTCCGTGTTTGCTTTGGAAGGAAGGGTTGGGTCTCTTGGGGGTTCTCAGGGCTTCTCCCTCCTCCCTACGTCCCTCACACCCTGGGCTCTCTGTGCCCTTTGCAGCAAGGAGAACTTTGACAGCATCCCCGACCTGGAGTTCAACCCCATCAGAGGGAAAATCGTCCACGCCTTTTTTGACAAGCGGTGAGAATGCCCAGCACCCAGGGAGGGAGGATTTACCCGCTGTGAATGGGCTGGGGCTGGGCAGGGACCTTCCCCCCAAAGGCTGGGGTGGAGCCGGGCAGAAAACGAGACATTTAATCTGGATTTTAGGGATAAAGCAGTCCTAGGGCTTTGCTGGGGGTGTGGTGGGGCTGGGGCGGGTTTCCCATTGTCTCTGTGTCTCTGGGAGCCTCTCAGGGACCCTGGCCAGCCCCGGGTCAGCAGACAGCAGGGGACACTCCCTGTGCCCCGAGGGTACTGAGGGCAGCCAGGCCGGTCACCTTTGCCGCAGGAGAGACACCAGAGACATGGGTAGAGGATAAAAGGGCCGACTCTCAGCAGGGGTTAATCCAAGGTTTTATTCCAGGAGTCCCAAAGGAGCCCCTACACCTCAGGGGGCTCCTGCTGAGAGCCCTGGGAGAGGTGCCAAGGTTGCATTTAAAGGGAGGTGGAAACCTAAAGTAGAGAACATTTACTGACCAATGAGTGACCCTGAGGGATGGGTACTGAGAATGGACATTTAGGACAGGGTCTGGGGTAACACTTGTGGGGCTGACCCCTGGCCTCTGGCTGATCACTCGATGTCCTGGACCAAAAGTTCTGGATGGAGGGGATGGGATGGTGAGTGACTGACAGAGAGCCAGGGTGGGGATTTGGGGGTGATCTCAGCAAAGGAAAGGGATTGCACAGGTACAGGGAGGGGGGTACAATCTGGGGTAAAGCATTTGGGAAAAATACAAACCCAAAACTATTACAAAGTATTACAAAGTATAAAAGCACACCACAACACCCAATCACCGAGGGCTGGGCCCCCCAGGAACCTGCGGCAGGAGTCGGACGGGCTGGCAGAGGAGATCAACTTCGAGGACTTCCTGACCATCATGTCCTACTTCAGACCCATCGAGATGAACATGGACGAGGAGCAGCTCGACCGCTTCCGCAAGGAGAAGCTGAAATGTGAGGCTGCCCCGGGGCAAACCTGGGCTTGGGGCTGCTGGGAAGGGGCTGCCCTGACCCTGCTGTCCCCTGCTGTCCCCTGCTGTCCCCCCAGTCCTGTTCCACATGTACGACTCGGACCACGACGGGAAGATCACGCTGCAGGAGTACAGAAATGTAAAGTTGGGTCCCCCTGTCCCATCCCTCCATCCCCAGGCCTGGCCTGAGCCTCTGCCTTGCAGGTGGTGGAGGAGCTGCTGTCAGGGAACCCCCACCTGGAGAAGGAGTCGGCTCGGTCCATCGCCGACGGGGCCATGATGGAGGCAGCCAGCATCTGTGTGGGACAAATGGTGGGAGCCTCTGCTGGGAGCCTCCTGCTGCTCTCAGGGGCTCTGCTGGCATCACAATGGGGCTGGGAGGTGTCCCTGCTTCCCAGGGCATCTCCCTGTGCCACGGCAGCTTTGGCTGGAGGTGTTTTTTGCAGGCAGCAGCTCCCAGGGTGATGTTTCCTCATGAGAGAGGGACCAGCATCCCACAAACCCCCATCCTCACTGCCTATGGAAGGGGCTGCTCCTGGCAGCCGAGGGGGTTTGGGAACCACTCAGGGGCTGGCCATGGGGTGCAGGGCAGGAACCCATGGGAGATGTGTCCCTCAGCCCCAGGGGACATCCCTGGGCCGCCCCTCCCATCACCCCGGGGCGGCTGCGATGTTTCCTCTCACTGCGGCAGGGCCCGGACCAGGTGTACGAGGGCATCACCTTCGAGGACTTCCTGAAGGTCGGTGACACCCCCGAGGCCCCGGGAGGAGGGGCCGGGGTGGGGACAGGGGCGGGCACAGGGACCGGGATGGGCACAGCAGGGGCCGGGATGGGCACCGGGACAGGGGAGGGCACAGCAGGGCTGGGCCGTGGCCCTGGTCCCCTCACCCTGTCCCCTGTCAGATGTGGCAGGGCATCGACATCGAGACCAAGATGCACGTCCGCTTCCTCAACGTGGACACCATCGCCCACTGCTACTGAGAGGGACAGCAGGAGGAGGAGGAAGAGGAGGAGGAGGATGAGGAAGAGCAGGACCCAGCAGCAGCTCCATGTCCTGGCACTCAGCTCCCAGCTCCGTGGCTCTGCCCCACCCGTGTGCCTGTTCCAGGCTGGGGCTGCCCTCTAGAAACATTAGAGGCTTTTATCTGTAATAAAAGATATTTCTCTTTTTAGTCCTCACTGAGAAACACTCCATCCATCCATCCATCCATCCATCCATCCATCCATCCATCCATCCATCCATCCATCCATCCCTCCATGCTGTAGTGTTTCCCTGAGCAGAAACCCTCCCCAAATCCTGGCTGCCCCATAAATCTGGGTTTCACCTCTGCCAGGGGCTGCTGTGGGGAAGGAGCTGCCCAGCCTGGGCTGATCCCAGGCCAGGGGAGAGGCAGGGATGGGGATGCAGGCGGGCAGGAGGTGACAGCAGCACCCCCAGCACCTGCAGGGACAGCCCCGTCCCACTCTGCATCCTGCAGGGAAGGCGGAGGCAGCGACACAAGGAATATTCCCGGTTTAATCCCAAAGCAGAGCAGGCAGGAGGAGCCCAGCAGGCAGCAGGAACGTGGGGACACGGGCTCCTGGCAACCAGGTGGCTTCTGCCCCCTCATGTTCCCGCTGGAACAAGGCACGGGAGCCGGGGGTTGTTTACTGCCATTAATGACTGAGTGGCTCCAGGCGGGTTCTGTCTCTAAGGCAGCCCGAGCTGGGGAGGGAGGGAGGCAAGGAAAAAAGGGCAATGGCTATTTTTAGGAAAGCAGGGAAGATTTATTTGTTTTATCAAAAAACAGCTTCCCCTGGTGACAGGGGCAGCACAGCCGGCGGGTGAGGGGCTGGGCAGCGATGGGTGCGGAGCCACCGGCCCTGTGTCACCCCTGTGTCCATCCCTCTGTCCATCCCTGTGTCACCCCTGTGTCACCCCTGTGTCACCCCTCTGTCCATCCCTGTGTCACCCCTGTCGCCCCTGTGTCACCCCTGTGTCACCCCTCCATCCATCCCTGTGTCACCCCTGTGTCACCCCTGGCTCAGGGTCTCTGCTCTGCACCCCCACACTGAGGGCACATTTCGGGTTTCTGTCCCGTCCCAAGTCCCCGTGTCCGTTCGGAGCCGCTGGAGCCGAGCCTGGAGCAGCTCCCGGAGCCCGGGGAAGGACAAGGACAGCGCTGCCCTGCCCCAGGGACCGGCCCGGGGCTGCCCCGGGGATGGAGCCGCTCCCGGGTCCCACCTGGGAATGTCCCCCTGGGAATGTTCCCCTGGGAATGTCCTACGGAGCTGTGGGACAGCGCTGCCGCTGGGGCTGAGCTGGGACTGGGCTGGGCTGGGCACGGTGGGGATGGAGCTGGGCACGGTGGGGATGCAGCTCCCGGCTCCCCCGGAGGAGCCAATTCGGGCCCTGCAGGGCTCCTGGTGCTGCCCCCAGCCCGGGCTGCGTTTGCAGAGCTCCGTGATTCCCTCCCTGGGCCCCTCTGGGCACCCCCATGACGAACACCACTACCTCCTCCTCTTCTTCCTCCTCTTCTTCCTCTTCCTCCTCCTTCTCCCACCCTGTGCCGGCTCCCCAGCGCTCCCTCCCCATCTCACGCACACGAGGCCCCGACCCCCAGCTCCTCCCCAAATCCAGGTTTCCGCAGCCAACCCAGGCTCCTTTCCCTGCTTTCCCACTGAAATTCCCCCCAGACACTGCGGGAGCACCCCGGTCCCTGATCCAGCTGCAGGCCCCGAGCTCCCCTCAGAGCCCCGAGCTCCCATCACAGCCCCGAGCTCCCCTCAGAGCCCTGAGCTCCCATCACAGCCCCGAGCTCCCCTCACAGCCCCGAGCTCCCCTCAGAGCCCCGAGCTCCCCTCACAGCCCCGAGCTCCCCTCAGAGCCCTGAGCTCCCATCACAAACCCGAGCTCCCCTCACAGCCCTGAGCTCCCCTCACAGCCCTGAGCTCCCATCACAAACCCGAGCTCCCCTCAGAGCCCCGAGCTCCCCTCAGAGCCCCGAGCTCCCCTCACAGCCCCGAGCTCCCCTCAGAGCCCTGAGCTCCCCTCACAAACCCAAGCTCCCATCACAGCCCCGAGCTCCCCTCACAAACCCGAGCTCCCATCACAGCCCCGAGCTCCCATCACAGCCCCGAGCTCCCATCACAAACCCGAGCTCCCATCACAAACCCGAGCTCCCCTCAGAGCCCTGAGCTCCCCTCACAAACCCGAGCTCCCCTCACAGCCCTGAGCTCCCCTCAGAGCCCCGAGCTCCCCTCACAGCCCCGAGCTCCCATCACAGCCCCGAGCTCCCATCACAGCCCCGAGCTCCCATCACAAACCCGAGCTCCCATCACAAACCCGGGTCCTTTTCTGCCCCAGATCCCCGGCTGGGGCTGCAGGGGTTAACACCAGCTCAGGGTCCCTCTCCCCTCCACACCCGATTTCCTCGAGGATCATCCCAGAGGATCCCAGTAGAGGTGAAGGCCGGGAGGAGTGAAGAGGATGGATGAGAGGATAATTATTATCCCTTGGGTTAATTAGCCGTTACAATTAGCTAATTATAATATAGTAATAATATATATAATATATAATATATTATTATATATTATACATTATAATATATATAATCATTATAATATAATTAGCTGCCCCTGATATTCCAAGTGGCAAGGAAAGCAAGGGAGGTTGGGAAACAGAGGCACCCAACACAAAGCAGCTGCAGCACTTTCCCTTTGTGAAAAAATGTCAACCACTTGGTTTGAAAATTTTAAAAGTTTAATAGTAATAAAATGGTTATAAAAATAGTAATACAATTAGAGTAATAAAAATTTGGACAATTAGGATTAGAACAATATGAGACAATAGAGACAAAGAGTTACAGACAGTCTGGGTACCTCTTTCTGGGCAAAATAAGCCCAAAATGGACCCAGGTTAACAGACGATTAACCCTTAAAAGCAACAGCCTGTTGCATATTCATACACCTTGTACATGATGCATAAATTCCATTCAAACACAGGATTCTGTCTGGTCGGTGTCAGCTGCTTCCTCTGAATGCTGACGGTGTCTTCAGGGCTGAACAAGGCAGGAAGAACTCGATAATGGAGCAATAAATTCTCTTTCTCTGAAGGATTCAGGTGTCCTCTGGCTGCTATCTTGGTGAGAGTCTTCTCTTAAAAAAAGTATCCTACACAGCAAAGCTTCTACTTTAACATTATGTTATAACCTAAAACTATATTTAACACACAACTTAAGAATATTAACACAGCATAACTTTCTAACATAGCACATATAATATTAATTTTAATATTTGAGAAAAGCCAATCATAAATCACACCTTTGCTTGTGTTGGGAATTCCCTGTGGGAAATGGGAGAGGGGAGAGCAGGAGGGAGGCTGGGCTGGGCAGGGAGAGAGAGGAGCAGGGATGGATCTGGAGAGCCCCGTGCATGGGCAGGAGCATCGTGTTACACACAGCAAAGCCCAGCGAAACGGGGATAATCCTCCTGAAAATCACAGGGAAAGCTGGCAGAGCCCCGGGAAAGCTGGCAAGGACACAGCTTCTGCCACAGCAAAATCCTGCAAAGCCCAGAGCATCCATAAAGGAAAATGGTTCTGTTGTGGGGCCAGGAGGGGGCACACACAGAGCTCTGTGCAGATCCCAGGGGGAACTGGAACATTGGAGCTGCCTTAAAACACACTGGAAATCTCCAGGGAGGCTGAGAAAGGCTGGGCAGCACCAGAGAGAGCAGCTCCTGGGATTGGAGAGGGGGAATGAGTGACCCCAGAGCTGGAGAGGGAACTGAGTGACCCAGGATTGGAGAGGGAACTGAGTGACCCCAGAGCTGAGTGACCCCAAAGTGACTCCAGGACTGGAGATGGGAACTGAGTGACCCCAGAGGCAGAGAGGGGAACAGTGACCCCAGAGCTGAGTGACCCAGAGTGATCCCAGAACTGCAGAGAGGGAACTGAGTGACCCCAAACATGGAGATGGGGACTGAGTGACCCCAGGACTGGAGAGGGAACTGAGTGACCCCAGGACTGGAGAGGGAACTGAGTGACCCCAGTCAGGATCAGGGCAGGGACCCTGGGCAGGTGGGTGTTGGCACCGAGGGCACCCAGCCTGACCCATGTCCCCACCATCCCCTCATCCATCAGCCACTCTGGAGCTGGGGAATGGCAGCAGAGACCAAACAAGGGGCCAGGAGGGGAGGGAAGAGCAGGAGAGCAGGAGGCAGCACAGAGCTCACAGCCACAGAGCCATATTTCTGCAGCTGATATTTCTGAGCTGAATTTTGAGGAGTTCCTCGTTCCTTTGAGTGGCTCTGGCTGAGGCAGGGCTGACAGAGGAAACCCCCACCTGCAGCTCTCCCATGAAGAGGAATTTGGCCCAGGGGCTGAAGGTCCACATTTCGGGATGAGAGTCTGCCAGTGTAGATCCTTTTTCTGGCTAAAAATCTTGCCAGATAAATCCTGACCTGAACAGGCCCTTTCCCCCAGGTTTCTGCTCACAATCCACCAGGATCTCCTCTGCCCTGGGGCCTCCAGCCCCTGCTGCCCCCCCAGCAGCAGGGACAACACAGCTCCAGCACCTGGAGTTTCAGGAGCACCCACAGAAGGTGGGAATGAGCAGGCAAATGTCACTGGAGGAGAAGAGGGGGCAGAGAGGGTGTGAAAAACGCCGATCGCTTGTTTTGAAAATTTTAAAAGTTTAATAGTAATAAAATGGCTATAAAAATAGTAATACAATTGGAGTAATAAAAATTTGGACAATTTGGATTAGGACAATATGAGACAATAGAAACAGAGTTACAGATAGTCCAGGTACCTCTTTCTGGGCAAAATAAGCCCGAAAAAGGACCCAGGTTAACAGAGGATTAACCCTTAAAATCAACAGCCTGTTGCATATTCATACACCTCATCCATGATGCATAAATTCCATTCCAACACAGGATTCTGTCTGGGCAGTGTCAGCTTCTTCCTCTGAATCCTGATGGCTCTTCATGGCAGAGCAAGGTGGAAAGAAGTTCCTTTCTTCTGATAAGAGGGCAATAAATTCTTTTTCTCTGAAAGATTTAGGTGTCCTGGGGCTGCTATCTCAGTGTGAGTACCTCATTCCTTTATTTACAAAAACATCTCACATATATAGTTTCTATTTTAACATTATGTTATAACCTAAAACTATATTTAACCCACTACTTAAGAAAA